AAGAAAGGTAAAAAGAGTGGAGAAAAGGGGTGCAATGGAGAAATCAAATCAAAACCATTGTCGTTGAGTTGATTCTGACTCATTGTGGCCCAAAAGTACAGAGTAGAACTGCCCCACAGGGTTTCCAAGGCTGTAAATCTTTATGGAAGCAGATTGCTGCATTGTTCTTCCTTGGAGTGGCTGGTGGGTTAGAACCACTGACCTTTCAGTTAACAGCTGAGCGCTTAACCACTGCGTTACCAAGACTCCTTCAGTGGAGATAAGGATAGGTTAAAAGTCCCAAAATGGAAAAAGGAATTTTATTAAAATATGTTTTGGGGAAATATTTTTAACCATTTTAAATTTTTCTCATTATAGACACCAAAGGTGTCTTTTGGGAACTGATATTAAGAATACTATACTTACTAGAAGTGCTTTATAATAATTTATTGACACTATCTTTATCTCATTTAGATAACATGAAATACCCTATTTCACTGAATCTTACACCTTGTATAACATTGAAGGGAAGCAGAGGACTTTTGCATATTTACTACATTCCAAGTAAGTCCAATTTTTGTTTTTGTATGTTGACTAAAGGGTTGAAGAAATAGCCACGATAAATAATTGTGTTCCAAAAGTACTTGTATTAATTATCTATTGCTATGTAACAAATTACCACAATCTTAATGGCTTAAAACAAGACACATTTATTATCTCTTAATTCCTGTAGGTCAGTAGTCTGGGCCTGACCTAGGTGCATTTGCTTCTGGGTCTCCCACCACTGCAGTGAAGGTGTTGGCCAGGGCTGGGGTCTCTTCTGGATGCTTAAGTGGGGAATGATCTGCTTTCATGCTTATGTGGTTGTTGGCAGAATTCAGTTCCTTGCTGCCTGTTGGACAATCCTCAGTTTCTTGCCATGTGGGCCTTTCCAACATGGCTGCTTGCTTCATTAAAGCCAGCAACACAGAGAGTCTGCTAGCAACATAGCAATAATTGTCGTATGTAGCCTAATCATGGAAGAGACCTTCTGTCATCTTGTCCATATTCTATTGGTTAGAAGCAAGCTACTAATGTCCAGACCACATTCAAGAAGGCAGGATTATACAAGGATATGAATACCAGGAGGCAGGGATCAGTGGGGGCACCTTGAGTCAGCCTGCCACTTTTGAAATATTTTATATTCTTTAGAATGTGCTTAACTTATATTTGAGCTCCATAAAAAATGGAAAGAGGGTCCCTTGTCATGCATCAGATGGACACCACAACAGTGCAGTCTTGAGACCCTGTGTGTCAAGAAATTCCTTGTGAAAACTGTTTCTTCACCTTCTACATGCATCTATACTTTTGGAGAGGTTCAGGCACAAGTTGTGAGCTGGGCCATGAGACCAGTGTTTGAAATAGACCTCATGATGTTCTTCTCCACACTCTACCCTGAAAGTAGAGAAGTGGAGACAAGTTAGGAAGTTTGGTAGTACTTCAGGTTCAGAGTAATGAGGACCTACAGATTTGTGACGAAGATGAGGAAATCAATTTTGGAAATGCTGAGTAAGGTAATTGAGCAATATTGAGTGCAGATGTTAAATGAATATAGGGAATGTGGTCAGGAGAAAATCGGGACTAAAGATAATGATTTGGGAATTATCACCATGTATTAGTTACCTATGGCTGCCATATCAAAATACGACAAACTGGGTGGCATACAAGAACAGAAATTTATTGCCTCACAGTTCTGGAGTCTAGTAGTCTGAATTCAGGCTGTTGGCAGGCCGTGTTTCCTCTTATGGCTTTAGGGGAAGGTCTTGTTTTGTTTCTTCCAGCTTCTAGGCGTTCCTTGGCTTGTAGATGTACCTTCACATGGCTGTCCTTTCTCTGTCTGTAACTCTTCTCTTTTATAAGTTACAACTCAGAATGGATTAGACCCACTCTACTCCAGTATGATTTCATGTCAATGGTTAACATCTTCAAAGACTCTGTCTCCAAACAAGGTCACATTCACAGGTACCAGGGGTTAGAACTTCAACATAAAGTTTTGAAGAACACAGTTCAGTCTATAACACACGGTATGTGGTACTTAAAGCCAGGGAGGATGTTGTAAAATGGTGTGAGTAGCGACAGAACCTATCTCACTTCAGGGGGGATAATGAAAATCACCATCAGCACAAAGCTAATTCCTATGAGGTGGAGGACAGACATACTTCCACTCTCCAAACTTTTTACCAATTCTGACACTGGCCGTCCTCCCCGTGGCACTTTCTACTTCTCTACTGGGTTTGAAATTCATTGCAACAGCTACACAGAGCTCATAGACCATACTTACAGTCAAGTGGTTTATTAAGGAAGTAACAAGGTACAACCCAGGATCAGGGTCAGGAAGCATGTAGGCAAAATCTGGAAGGCTCCTCCAAATAGGAAAGCACATCTCTCCCTTCTTCAGCGCAGGACATCTCTCTCAGCTCCTGCAAGCAAGCAGGTCCTTCTCTCTGCCATTCATGCCGCCTCTCAGCCGTACAGGCTTCCTTAAACCCCCTGAGGACAGGTCTCCGCTCAGCCCTCTCAGGACAGGCCTCTCTGTCGTTGGCCTCCATGCCATTGATCTCTCCATTGCTGACTGACCCAACTCATAGCTAGTGTGACAGTTTTGTTCAGCTCTCTTAACTGCATCCCTAGCAGCAGATTTCTGCTGTCACTACTGAATTCTGCCTCCAGACCCTTCTGGGCATCTCACTGTCTTCAGTGTAACAGCCCTTGACTCGTGTTACAGTTCTTTTAGGAGATTCCTTGCCACCTCTCTCTCTGTTTCTTCTCTCTTCTTTCTTCCTTCTGCTTCTGTCTGCCAACCTCTGTGGGTTTGGCTGCAGATAAAAGCAAACTCCTGGTCAATTTCAAGGCATGAACCTCCCACCAGGGCTACAAACTGACCAATTCCCCCTTGGTAGGCCACAGACACTTCATTTGTATAATAGGCTGTTGTCACTTCATTTGCATAGTATTTTGTCCAGTCCCTGCAAGATGCATACCAATCGCAGGGCAGGCTGCAGGCCAGGGCCAGACAAAAAGTATCAAAACACAAGTTGTTTACAGCTTACCCAGGAAATGTCAGTCAACCCGGACAAAAGTAACAAACCTCTACGGTAGAAAACTAGGGCAAAGATAACTCCTCAGGGCTTAGGGAAACTATTTCTCAAGCAGTTTTTCCGAAAAGGAGCCAAAGAACCACATAAAGGAACAGAAGGCCACATAAAGGAACCCATTTCAGCACAAGTATGCAGAGTGAAAAGAAAGAACTGATGATAGAAACCTAAGAAAAGGGGGTCAATAAAATAGACAGAGGTAATGGAGTCAAGTAGGTTAGAGGCCAACTTGAAGGGAGTGGTGGCACAAACGCCAAAGGAAGGAGAAGGTTCTGAGGAAGGAGCTGATGGTTATATTTAATCAAGTTCAAGTTAGATGGACAAGTTTTTTGATTATGACTGCTATGAATCATGGCGACCTCATTAGTAAAGCATTTTCAATGAGGTAGTGTTATAATAATTGTTTTCATTATAAAAAGTATTGTATATCTTTTCTAGTTGGAGCAACTGATGAACTTGGAAGAGTTGAGTAAAATTCATTGTTTATTAGAATTTTCCATGTTAATTCCCTTGATAATAAGGAGCTCCTAAGTGAATAAAAAATAGCTCATACCCTTAATTTTTAATCGAAAGTTCAATTTTATTCTCCAAGAAATCTTTCATCAAATGTCCTAAAACATCGACACGAGTTAATTGTCCTTGCTTTCTCTCCTTTCCCTTTTCTTTCTTTTGAATTTCCCGGCAGAACTGTGACTAGAACTGGAAATTTTGTGTTTTTGTTTGATAGTTTTCTCAATCAAGTTATGAAGATTCCTCTGTTTTTTAGGCACAGCATACATAATTCTTACTCTATAGAACATTTTATCTGATTAAGATATACTAGTTGCCCTCTCAGAACTTCAGTTTTCTTGTCTTCAGGCTGAGGATAATAATACCACCTCATAGAGTTGTTGCGATGATTAAGTGGAATAATGTAGGAAAAACACAAGTGTTGGGGAAATATAATTAAAAAAAAATCTGTTTCCAACCCAGAAAACCTCTCCAAAAAGGTAGAAGAGACTGAAAACAATTTTATCATCAAATAAGCATCGAACCAGAGTGTGATGCGTCGTAGGAAATCCCCTAAAGAGATTGCAAACAGAAAGAAATCTCACCCTTTATATAGCCAGGTAGATGCAACCCATTTCATAGATGTTCTCAAGGTAAATGAGTTGATTCTGATTCATGGTAACCCCTGTATTGCAGACTAGAAATGCACTCCATAGGGTTTTCAAGGCTGTGACCTTTCAGAAGCAAATTGCCAGGCATTTCTTCTGAGGTGTCTCTGGGTGGGTTGAAACCACCAATCTCTCAGTTAGTAGTTGAGTGCTTAACCTTTTGTGCCGTCGAGGGACTCCTCAACCGAAAGCTAGTCCTCCAATAAAGGGACTTGACAGCACTGTTTGTTAAACATTGTTTATCTGAAATACACCTGGTTATTGGAAAGCCACCAGTGTTTGATAATTGCTTTTACCCATAGGAAAAGTAAACTCTTCACATCTTTATGACAGGAGGTGATTGTACAGCTTGGAGCACGGCAAGGTTAGGTTCTGACCCTCCCACGGAAACTGAGAGATAGGAGAGCTGTCTTTCTTACTGATTACATTTTAAAGAGATGGCTCCCAGGTCTGGAGGAAACATTCCTGGGTTGTCAAACTGGCAAGAAGCTTATTTAGCCTTTCAAGAGGATTCCCCAAAAGAGGCCAAGAAAAAATTTATAATGACAAGATTTCTAAAGTAAATACTCTAAGGAAAAGGGAAAGGGGGGGGGTGTCTCTCCTTTTTTGCAATAGGGAAAATTTTTTTTTTCTTTTCATTTTATATTTATCCTTACACATGGCACATTTTAAGTGTGCAATACGTATTAGTATGATTTATAAAAGAATCTCTTATCTGAGGGGCTAATGGGTTTTTTTTTTCTTTTTAAGGGAGAGACGTGGAAAAATTATATTTCAATCTCTATCTATCTGTCAACTCCATAAACCTTCCAAAGCGCAAAGAAGTTATTTGTCGAGGATCTGATGACAGTTATTCTTTTTGCAGAGCTCTGAAGGGAGGTAAGCATTCATAGTACTCTTCAAACATAGCATAGTTCCTATGAGAATGTTAGGAAATTTAAATACACCGAAAATGTGAAGCTCCTTTTCTGATAATAACTCTTCATTCCAACCAAAGTTTTTAGAAACTTTCAGCAGCTTAAACAACATTTTACAATTTATGTTATTAAATTGTTATTAAGATGATGTTTATTTGAGTGTGTTTGAAGAGATATTACAATTTTTACCTTGTTCACATTAGTATTTTACATTTTCTTTGCATATGGGTCTCTTTTCCTAAACATTACATTAATTATTTTTCATGGAAACTCACCAAATACTTCGATGCTGGTATAATACTGGTCTCGTTCAATGTTTTCCCTCTACATTGTAATTACTTATTCACAGAATCATAAAATTTTAGAGTTTAGGACTTTAAAGATGAGTGATTCCAGACCCATGAATTTTTTTCTTAAATAATTTAAAAAATCTATTTTATTTTATTTTGGTTTTTGTTGAGAATGTGCACAGCAAAAACACACACCGATTCAAGTTTCTACATGTACAATTCAGTGACATTGATTACATTCTTCCCATTGTGCAACCATCTCACCCTTCTTTTCTGAGTTATTCCTCCCCCATTAACATAAACGCACTGCCCTCTGAGGTTCCTAGCTAATCTGAGTTATTCCTCCCCCATTTACATAAACTCACTGCCCTCTGAGGTTCCTAGCTAATCCTTCCAGTTACTGTTGTCAGTTTGATCCCATATAGATAGATCTTAAGAGCATAATGCTCAAGGCAGATATTCTTTACCAGTTAAGCTAAACTATTGTTTGGTTTTAAGAAGACTTTAGGGGATATTTTCGGTTTAGGGTCTTAAATAATTTTTAAACTAGTGTTTTAAATAGTTTAAAAGATTGTAAATATGATACCGTCACACTACCAAAAATTGGAAACTACAGACAATTAAAAGTCATAGAATCATATTTATAAAACCATTTTGGTGTATTTCCTTCTTGTGTTTTATGTATGAATATTATTTGTGTAGTTGTAAATATACTGTACTACAATTGTTTTTTTAAAATTAATTAATTTAAGTCTTTGAAGAGTGAATCCATGTGGTTAAAAATCAGAGCATAAATAGCATACAGTGTAACATCTTCCTCCTTCTCCCTATCTGCCTCATTTCCAACCATCCCAACCGCAATCCTCCACCAGTCAACCTTTGTCAGTAGATTTTAAGATAGCCTTCCAAAGTTTCTTTATGCATATATAGTAAATATGGATAGAGTCTTATTTTCTCCCCCATTTTTGATAGAAATTAGCATGTTTTACACTCTGTTATGCACCTTGCTTTTTTTCACGTAACGATAAATTAAAAATCTTTCTAGTTAATCTGTTTTTGAATCTTGCTTTGTTGGTTAACTATTAAAACAGTATTTTATTGTGTTTTAGTTGAAAGTTTACACAGCAAATTAGGTTCCCATTTAACAATTTTTATACAAATTGTTCCCTGCCACTGGTTACAGTTTTCACAATGTGTCAGTATTCTCATTGTTTCCATTCTGTTTGTTCTGTTTCCATTGATCTAACTTCCCTTCTCCTTGCCTTCTCATCTTTGCTTTTGGATAAATGTTGACCATTTGGTCTCATATAGTTGATTGTTTAATGAAGCACATTACTCACAGGTGATAATGTTTATTTTATAAGCCAATCTATTATTTGGCGGAAAGGTGAACTCCAGAAATAGCTTCAGTTCCAAGTTCAAAGGGTATCTTAGGGTGATAGTCTCCAAGGTTCCTCTAGTCTCTATCAGCCCAGTAAGTTTGGCCTTTTTTAGGAATTTGAGTTTTGTTCTACATTTTTCTTCCATTCTATCCAGGACCTTCTATTGTGTCCCTAGTCAGAAAAGTCAATAGATTGGTTAACTATTAAGCATATTTGTGTTACCTTATATCTTACTAACTTTCATTTTTATCTTCCAAAATATATCATTTAATAAACATGTTCTGGTTTACTTAACCATTCTCCTACTGAACATTTAATATCCTTTTGATTCTTTTTATTGTTATGGGTAATAATATGTTGTTGTTAGCTGCTGTGGAGTCACCCCTGACTCATGGTGACCCCATGCCCAATGGAAAGAAAAGCTGCCCAGTCCTGCACTATCCCCATGATCAATTGCAGATCAGACCAGTTGTGATACAAGGAGCTTTCATTGGCTGATTTTCAGAAATAGATTGCCAAGCCTGTCCTTCTAGTCTGTCTTAGTCTGGGAGCTCTGCTGAAACCTGTTTAACATCATAGCAACATGCAAGCCTCCACTGACAGAGAGGTGGTGGCTGTGCACGAGGTACATTGGCTGGAAATTGAACCTGTGTCTCCCACATAGAAGGTGAGAATTCTACCACTCAACCAACACTGTCCCCTTTAATTAGGTAGTTATCAACTAACTGACAGGAAAACTCAGATAAGGCTGCACAGACTATTTTATTAAAATCTTGAGTCTAAGAACATCAGACAGAGTGAGGAGGAAAGACATTCTCTTGAGAGGACACAACATATGCAAAAGCATCCAGTCATGAAAGCACATGGTTTATTTGGAGAGTAGTTTTTTGTAGCTGGAGCAGAATGTGCCCATGGGGAATTGCTAGAAACGAGCTTAGAAAAGGGGGCAGGCGTCACACGAACAGACATATGCACACCCATGTTCATGGCAGCATTGTTCACAACAGCAAAAAGATGGAAACAACCTAGATGCCCATCAACAGATGCGTGGATAAACAAACTATGGTACCTACACAAAATGGAGTATTATGAAATGATAAAGAACAAGGATGAATCTGTGAAGCATCTCATAACATGGATCAAACTGGAGGACTGTATGCTGAGTGAAATAAGTCAATCACAAAAGGACAAATATTGTATGAGACCTCTATTGTAAAAATCCATGAAAAAGTTTACACACAAAAAGTAACAGTCTTTGTTGGTTACGAGGGATGGGAGGGGTTGGGGTGGGGAAATACTAAATAGACAATAGATAAGTGGTACTTCGGTGAAGGGTAAGACAGTACACAATACTGGGGAAGCCAGCACAACTTGTACAAGGAAAGGTCATGGAAGCTCCATAGACACATCCAAACTCCCTGAGGGACTGAATTGCTGGGTGGAGGGCTGTGGGGACCATGGTCTCAGGGAACATCTAGCTCAATTGGCATAACACAGTTTATAAAGCAAATGTTCTACATTCTACCTTGGTGAGTAGCATCTGGGGTCATAAAAGCCTGTAAGCAGCCATCTGAGATACTCCACTGGTCTCAACCCTTCAGGAGCAAGGACGAATGAAGAGAACAGGACATAAGGAAAAGATTAGTCCAAAGGACTAATGGACCACAGCTACCAAGGCCTCCACCAGACTGAGTCCAGTACAGCTAGATGGTGCCTGGCTACCACCACTGACTGCTCTGACCAGGATCACTACAGAGGGTTCTGGACAGAGCTGGAGAAAGATGTAGAACAAAATTGTAACACACAAAAAAAAGACCAGATTTCTGGCCTGACAGAGACTGGAGAAACCCTGAGAGTATGGCCCCCAGACACCCTTTTAGCCCAGTGGTGAAGTCACTCCTGAGGTTCACTGTTCAGCTGGGGACTGGACAGCCCCATAAAACAGAACGGGACTAATGAGGCACAGCAGTCCAGGGATGAGGACTAGAAGGCAGGATGGGACAGGAAAGCTGGTGATAGGGAACCCAAGGTTGAGAAAGGACGGTGTTGACATGCCATGGGGTTGTTAACCATTGTCATAGGGCAACATGTGTACTAACTGTTTAATGGGAAACTATTCTGTAAACCTTCATCTAAAGTACAAAAAATAAAAAGAATTATCTAAGTGAGATCAAATTGACAACAGCAACTCAAAAGGTTTGATGGGAAGCCTAGGGGCCAGTGAGTTGAAGATAATGGTGATGGAATAATTTGGAAAAGGATAGTGAGAATAGCAGCACAACTGGAAGAATGTAATCGATGTCACTGAATTGTACATGTAGAAATTCATGAAATGGTGTGTCTTTGGCTATGTATATTTTCACCAAAAAAAAGTAGGTCCTCCAAGGTCGAGAAGGGAGAGGGTTGACAAGTCGTGGGATTGTTAACCAATGTCATAAAACAGTATGTGTACTGACTGTTTAATGAGAAACGATTTGTTCTGTAAACCTTCATCTAAAGTATAATAAAAAAAAAAAAAAGAAAAGGGGTTAGGGGTGAGCGTGTGAGTTTTGTACAAAACCTTGGCCTGCCTCCTGTAGTCAGTGGGCAGCGAAGACCAACTGAGATTTCTATTTTTGACTGATAACTAGTGTTCAAGTTGGAGCCCTGGTGGTGCAGTGGTTAAGAGCTCAGCTGCTAACCAAAAGGTCGGCAGTTCGAATCTACCACCGGCTTCTTGGAAACCCTATGGAGCAGTTCTGCTCTGTCCTGTAGGGTCACTATGAATGGGAATTGACTCGATGGCAATGGTTTGGTTTTTTTGGTTAGTGTCCATGTCAAGGAGCCCTGGTGGTGCAGTGTTTAAAGTGCTTGGCTGCTAACTGAAAGGTCGGCAGTTTGAATCCACCAGCTGCTCCATGGGAGAAAGATGTGGCAGTCTGTTCCCATAAAGATTTACAGCCCTGGAAACCCTATGAGGCAGTTGTACTCTGTCCTATGGGGCAGTTCTACTCTGTCCTATAGGGTTGGTATGGCAGTGGTTTTGGGTTTGGGTTTGGGTTAGTGTTCATATGCAAGGAGGCAAGGTGCGCTGAGGCAGGAAACTGGAGTGGAAGGAGGAGCTGCCAGGAGGCTGTGTGAGAGCTCATGAGAGCTGAACCAAGATAGTGGTCCAGGGAGTAGAAGGGAGGAGAGCAAGAGAGTATATTGGGAGACAGAATTGGTGGGCGTGCTGAGTAATTGGATTTGGCAGGCAAGGATTAGGGAAAGTCAAGAACCACTGGAGGGCTGGTGACTAATGTATGGAAGCACCATTCTCTGAGATTAGGTGTTCAAAAGAAGGAGCAGATTTTTAAAGAGAAAGATAAATGAGTTCCTGCTTAGGCATGTTGAGTTCAACATAACTTTGGGACATTCAAATAAACATGTTCAGTGGGCAACTGAGTATGGGCCCAGAGCTTAGAAGAAAATATCCAGGTGACATTCCTATTTAAGAATCCTTGATGTACCGAGAGACCCTTGACATTTGGGGGACAAATTTGCAAACACCCTACATTGCTATTTTAAAAGTAACTTTCATTTTGTTGTTGTTATAGAAGTAATGCTTCTTTAGGATATAATATTAGGAAATATGGAAAAGTAAAAATAAAAATCACGCATAATCTTACCACTTTTTGCATATATACATATATTTTTTTCCTTCAAAACCATGTTTATGAATGTCATTATTATTAGCTGCTATCCAATCAGCCCCTGACTCATAGTGACCCCATGCACAACGGGATGGGACCATTGAGATCCACAGGGTTTTCACTGGCTGATTTTTGGGGGAGTGGCTCGCCACCCTTCCTAGTCTGTCTTAGTGTGGAAGCTTCGCAGAAGCCGGTTTCGCATCTTAGCAACACGCAAGTCTCAACTAACAGATGGGTGGTGGCTGCGCTTGAAGTGCATTGGCCAGTAATTGAACCTGGGTCTCCCACAGGGAAGGCAAGAATCTTACCACTGAACCACCACTGCCTCCTGCATTTATGAATAAAGAAGTGAATATATCAAAGGCCTCTTAAACTTAGCAAGTCTGTTAGCCCTCTTCCCAGGATCTCAAACCCCACTTAGTTACTTCTCTTTACTGCATGTTCCTCCTGTATGTATGGATAACCCCCCAGCAAATGCCCATTTTGAGGCCCTCTGAGGCTTGGGTCCTGCATCCTATATATATACAGTTTCAGGAGAACTGGACTGGACCACAAGTGAGCCACAAGGATGCACTTTGGGAAGAGCAGAGAATGGTGTAAGAAAATGCTCTGTTCTCCTTCTCCCCGGCCCTGCCTTGGTTCCCTCTTGTCTTCCTGAAATGTGGGCAGAGGCGTCAAGCTCTGTAAGAATGGAATGGGAGAAGTGACCAAAATATGAACTTTCCAAGGGAGATAAAACAGTTGGAAAAGAGTATACTCTACAGAAGAAGTTAGAGTGCCTTCTTCCCACCAAACCAAGCATTTGGGCAGTCTCTCAAAGGAGATAGCTGGGAGTTATGCTTGTTTCTTTCTCAAGCCCTCCAGCCTCACCCATCTCTCCCTCTCACAGGGTCGACAGGGTTGGATTCAGGGGTATTCAACCAGTGCAGTCACACAGGCCCCATACTCAGAAGGGCCCCACGCTTGGGGTGTAATGCTCTGTGACTGCTGTCTTGAAATTCTTAATAATTTTATCTTTAAATTTGTGTTTTGTCAGTGAAGTCCGATGGGACAATGTGGCATGCACCAGGAGCTTGGAGCCTCTGTTTACCCACAGTCTCGTCTCTTACCATCTCCCTACCCTTGGACAGGTTCTTGGCTACCCACTCACCCAGTCCCTGATGCCGTGGGCCCTACCTGGTATCCCCCTCCCCGCCCCTGTCCAGTGAGCCCTGTTGTCTTCTGCTGGGAAAGTTGGGGTCAGGAGTGAGTGTCCTGTTGTGGTGTCTGAGGTGGGGCATGGTAGTGGCCAACCCCACCCAGGCTGGCAGCATCATGGTGACTAGATGGGGGCAGACTCTCCCTCATCTCTGAGACAAGTACCTAGAACTGTTAGCACAGAGGTTGCAATAACCTTGAGGGTTACCCATGGAAGGCAGACTTTGGGAAGGGGAGATGCCTGAATTGACTTCCCTTGTCCCTGCCAGGGAAGCTGGTGGGAGAGGGAACCCGGCAGCTGTCAGGCCCCAGCTTGTAGAGGTGCACCAAGTCATGAGATGACCTATTACGGTCTACACTCACCTTGGGAACATTCCTATGTCCAAGGGAGTGCATCCTCTGGCTATTCCATGCCTGAGGCAGTGTCTTAGTTACCTAGTGCTGCTGTAACAGAAATACCACAAGTGGGTGGCTTTAACAAACAGAGATTTATTTTCTCACTATTTAGGAAGCTAGAAGTTTGAATTCAGGGCTCTGGCTCTAGGGGAAGGCTTTCTCTGTTGGCTCTGTGGGAAGGTTCTTGTCTCTTTTCAGCTTCTGTTTCTTAGTTCCTTGGAGATGTCATGTAGCCTGGCATCTATCTGCCCCCAACTGTGTTGGCTTAATCTGCTCTTTCATATCTCAAAAGAGATTGATTTAAGACACACCCTTCATTAATATGGTCTCATTAACATAACAAAGAAAACCTATTCCCAAATGGAATCATAACCACAGGTACAGGGGTTAGGATTTACAACACATATTTTTGGTGGACACCCGCTCTTCTTCCTTCCAAACTTCCTGAGTCTGGATTGTGTTAATCTTTTCTGGCCAGCTCAAGGGATGAGCTACAAAATACAAATCGTGTAATATTAGTGATTCTGCATAAGAGTTAGATGCTCTAACACTTGCATTTAAAACTGGCATTGCATAATATAAACATACAGTAGTCCACCCTTATCCACAGGGGATACATTCCAAGACCCCCCACCACCACCGTGGAGGCCTGAAACCACGGATAGTACCGAACCCTATATATACTATGTTTTGATCTATACATACATACCTATGATAAAGTTTAATTTATAAATTAGGTACCCTAAGAGATTAACAACAGTAACTAATAATAAAATAGAACAATTACAACAATATACTGTAATAATAGGTGAATGTAGTCCTCCCGGCAGGAGGGGGTGGGAAGGTGTGAGATTTTCAGGCTGGATTGATTGGGTTAACTGAAACCTCAGTAAACGAAACCATGGATAAGGGGCGGCTACTGTATATGTTTATATTGTATAATATAAACAATATATAAATGATAAAATTCTTACTAATAATTTAAAATTTTAATTTGCCTTTACTTAGAATTATATTAAATAGTGAATAAAAAAACACCACATGGAAGAAAGGAAACCGTGTTATAGTTTAGTACCTTTAATGTAACCTTTCTCCTTTTTTTTGTTATTGTGATACACACACAACATCCACCATTCCATCAATTTCTACATGCACACTTCGGTGACATTGATTACATTCTTCAATTTGTGCAACCATTCTTGACATCTCTTTCCTAATCATCCCACCATTGTTAACATACATTCAGTGCACTCTAAGCAAAACCCCTCACTTTCCCCTTCCTTCCTGTCCCTGGTAACCACTAATTACTTGTGGTTTCTATGTATTTGCTTATTTGATATAAGTGATGTCCTCCAGTTTTTATCCTTTTGTGTCTGACTTAGTTCACTCAGCGCAATGTCCTCTAGGTTCATCCACGTTGTTGCACGCAGCAGGGCATCATTCCCCTTTATGGCTGACTATGTATGTACCACATCAGGTGATGGGCATTTTGGTTGTTTTCACCATTGGGCTATTGTGAATAGTGTGGCAATGAACACTGGTGTACAAGTATCTGTTTGAATCTCTACTTTCAGGTCTTTTGGGTATATACCTAAGAGTGGAATTGCTAAGTAGTATGTTCAGCTTTCTGAGGAACCGCCATACTGTTTAACACAATGGCTGTACCAATTTATAGTCCTACCAGCAATTTATAATCCCACAGCAAGATGAAGGGTCCTGTTTCTCTACAACCTTATCAACACCTAGTTTTTTTTTTTTTTGGTTTGTCATTGCCATTCTAATGGGATGAGATGTTATCTCATTGTGGTTTTGATTTGCATCTCTCTAATGGCTAATGACTGTGAGCATCTTTTCATTTGCTTGTTGGCCATTTGAATATCCTCCTAGGTGAAAAGTCTGTTCAAGTTCCTTGCCCATTTTTTAATTGGGTCCTCTGCTTTTTGGACAAGGGGCCCCACATTTTCATTTTGCACTGGGCCTTGCAAATTATGCAGCCGGTCCTGGAGCCAAACGTGACCAAAGCAAAACCCCTGTCCTTGCGGAGCTCACAGACTGGTGGAGAAAAGAAGATCATAACTAAGTAATGAAATAAGATAGATTCAGATTGTGATACATGCTCTCAAGGAAATCAGCAGGTCGATCTATGAGCTATCAGGAGTCCTGGTGGCCCAGTGGTTCAGCCCTCAGCTAGAACTCACCAGCCACTCCATGGGAGAAAGATGTGGCAGATTGCTTCCTTAAAGACTACAGCTTTGGAAACCCTTTGGGGGCAGTTCTACTCTGTCCTATAGGGTCTCTATGAGTTAGAATCCACTCGACAGCTATGGGTATCTATGAGATAGACCATAATAGGGAGGTACAGGCTGGTAGAGAAAGTCTCTGAAGATCTGGGAAAGCACATGAGAATAGTAGCCAGGGTGTAACATTCACTATTTCTTTACAGTTTTGCTTAGGGCTGTCTCTGCCAGTAATAAAGGTGTAAAAGGTGTACTCCATGCTACCAAACCAAACCAAACCCAACCAAACAAAAACAAAAATCAAAGAAAAAAGCACCTGGTAATGACTAATAACTTCTTGTGTTTTTCAGAGACTGTGAATACAACAATACCATTCTCCTTCAGGGGAATAAAATTTTCTAAGGTATTGTTCAAGATTTACCTTGTGTGTTCGCAACCTTTGGAATTTGAAACAAGCAATTCACAACTTCTAAAAATAGAAATTAAATATTAAGATGTTCAAGGTTTTTTTTTTCTAGGTACTGGATATTTTGGTATTTCTTCTTTCTGCAGAATATGAAAAGGTTACACAAAAGAATTTTCCTTTTTATTGCATTTTTCCCTCTGACATACTTTGCTAAAAGTAATGCAAATGTTCAGTATTAGTATGTTGAATGATTTTCATTCAGATCAAAACACTGGACAACCACTGTGTATAACTCAGTAACTCCCTATATAACATGCTAAATATATATATATCTATATATATGCCATATATATATAATTTATGTAATATACAAAATATATGGTAAAAATTATTTAGGAGAATAAAAATCACATAAATTATAGACTTGTTTTTGTCCAAGATTTTTCTTGGAAACTTAGCCTGGACATCCTGGCCTTGGTAAAAATAATTAATGCCTAATAAAAAATACAGGTGTAAATTTAGATATTTGCATTACATACCTAGCAATGAAATTTTACATGTTTCACTTTTTAGTGACTTGAAATAAACTTTAGCAAGGCATATTCTTTGCCTATTTTTTACAAATGATATGTAATGTTCAAAACCTCATAGGCTAGTTTTAAAAATTGCAAAAAACATTGTCTCATAAAAACAAATGGATTTTATGCACGCTGAATTCAAAGGCTTGCAAAATTTCATCTCATTAGAAAAATGAGAAAATTGTAATCAATTCTATTTAAATGGCTTTCTCCTAGCCTCACAAAATTTTTGCAAAAGCCTTTAAAATAGAAGATCTAACATTTTATATTATTTGTATTTCTGTTTCCCTGTTTTAGGGACTGTACAGATGTGTTGCAGAAGCCATTAGCGGAAAGACTGAAGAGATGCTCTTTTGTTTGAATTTTACCATGATACACTAATCTGCATTCAAATAAATGGAGTCGATTTTATTTTTCGAAGGTTTTGTTCTTTATTAACAATTTTTTTGCACAGGTGAAGACATCTCTTGAGTTCACTTGCCTGCTGCTACTCGGGGCTCACCTACGTCTCTGCAGCTGCCACCTCCTGGATGTCAGACCCTGTTTGACATGCTGGGAATGCAGCGTTTAACAACCCAGACCAAAAAAAAAAAAAAAAAAGAAAAATCCTGCCCTCATGGAGCTTATATTTTCATAAGGGGAGTGCCTTTGTTTCTTAGGGCTGCTGTAACAGAAGTAGCACAAGTGGGTGGCTTTAACAAGCAGAAATCTGTTTTCTCACAGTTTAAGAGGCTAGAAGTCTGAATTCAAGGCACTAGCTGTAGAGGAAGGCTTTCTCTCTCTCTTGGCTCTGGGGGAAGGTCCTTGTTTCTTTTCAGCTTCTATTCTTTGGTGATCTTCATGTGGCGTGTATCTTCCCCTCCATCTGTGCTTGCTCTGATGCCTAACGGAAACCCTGGTGGTGTAGTGGTTAAGTGCTACAACTGCTAACCAAAAGATCGTTGGTTCGAATCCACCAGGTTCTCCTTGGAAACTCTATGGGGCAGTTCTACTCTGTCCTATAGGGTTGCTGTGAGTTGGAATCAACTCGACAGCAATGGGTTTGTTTTTTTTTGGGTTTTCCTATGCCTAAACTGCTACTTTTATATCTCAGATGTGATTTGCTTAGGACACACACACCTTACACTGTTATAGCCTTATTAACATAACCAAGAAAACCCTATTCCCAGATGGGATTACATCCACATATATAAGGGTTTGGATTTACAACACATATTTTTGGGGGACACAATTTAATCCATAACAGAGAGACTGATAAATATAATAAGTAAGTAAATTACATAGTTCTTTAGAAGCATACACACTATGATAATTGCTATGAAGTACAATATAGCAGGGAAAGGGGATAGGGATCGGAGGTGGTGGTCATGGTTGTAGTTTTAAATAGGATGATCAGGAAAGGCCTCAGTGAGAAGATGATATTTGAAAGAGTTGAGACAGCAAGTCATGTGGCTTTATCAGGGGAGGGCATTGCATGTTGAGGGAACAGTTGGTGCCAAGGCCCTGAAGCAGAAGGGTGCCTAGTGTGTTTGAGGAAGAGCAGGGGGCTGTTCAAATGAAGTGAATGAGGGGAGAAGAGGTCAGGTAGGTGTAGGGTGGGGCAGACAGGTACTGTAGAATCCGATACGCCATTGTTAGGACTGGCTCTTGCTGTGAATGAGATGAAAATTCACTGGAAGGTTCTGAGTGGAAGAATGACATCAGCTGACATTTTAAAGAGGCTTATTCTGGCAGTCATTTGCTCAGGCATGAGATGATGCTGGGCAGTAATCCAGGTAAAAAAGGAAAGAATTTAGGAGGCTTTTGTAGTAATCCAGGTGAAAGATGATGGAGGAGGTGGTGGGAAGTGATCTATTCTGGATATATTTTGAAGGTAGAGCCAAAAGTATTTGATGATGGATTGGATGGAAGATATGGGACAAAGGGAGTTATCAAGGATGATTCCAAGTTTTTTTGTCTGAGCAAATGGAAGAATAGACTTGGCATTTATTGAGATGGGGATGTCAGGAAGGAGCAGGTTTTATGAAGACAATCAGGGAGTTGTTTTTGGACATGTTAAGATATCTATTAGATACCCAATAGAGACTTTGAAAAGGCAGTAGGATATGGTGATGGTTGCACAACATGGTTAATGTAACTAATATCACTAAACTGTACACCTGATGATTGCTCCTTTCCCCCTCCCACCAGCCTCTGGTAATCACAATTAAACTTTGATCTCTAAACATTTGTTTGTATACCACATTATTTTTAATGGCTGCATAAATTCCTGTTATTTGGATATACCATAATTTGGTTACCCATTTCCCCATAATGTAGGATATAGTACAGATGTAGTATGAATAAGGAAGACCGAAGAAAAATTGATGCCTTTGAATTACAGTGTTGGAGAAGAATATTGAATATACCATGGACTGCCAGAAGAATGAACAAGTCTGTCTTGGAAGAGGAAACCCTGGTGGTGTAGTGGTTAACAGTTCAGCTGCTAACCAAAATGTTGGCGGTTTGAATCCACCAGGTGCTCCTTGGAAATGCTATGGGGCAGTTCTACTCAGTCCTGTAGAGTTGCTATGAGTTGGAATCGTTTTTGGTCTTTTTTTGGTCTTGACAAAGTAGAGCCAGAATGCTCCTTAGAAGTGAGGATGATGAGACTTCATCTCATGTACTTTGGACATGTTACCAGGAGGGACTAGTACCTGGAGAGGGACATCATGCTTGGTAAAGTAGAAGGTCATTGAAAAGGAGGAAGACCCTTAACGAGATGGATTGACACAGTGGCTACAATAACGGGCTCAAACATAGCGATTATTGTGAGGATGGCGCAGGACTGGGCAGTGTTTCATTCTGTTGTACATGGGGTCGCTGAGTTGAAGCTGACTCAACAACACATAACAACAACAACAACAGATGTAGAATATAGTGCTAAACATGAAGCTAAATATTGCCTCACTTAATTTTTACAAAACCTTTGGAAGGTAGATATTATTGTCTCCATTTTATAGGTGAGGAACCTAAAGCTTAGAGAGGTTAAGTAACTTGCCTAAAATCACATAGTAGTAAGTGGAGGGTCTAGGATTTAATCTTAGTACTATAACTCCAAAATCTGTGCTACTTTTTTTTTTTTAAAAATCATTTTGGTGGAATTATAGGTGTTTTAGACTTTTTGTCCTTGTGTTTTACACCAACTTTTCTACAATAAATATGTATTGATTTTTATATATTGGCTAAAATGACATTAAAAAACTATTATTATTAATCGCTTAAGTCCATTTACTTATTTAAAATAAAAGGAACCTTTAAGCAATCCCAATCAAAAGCAGGGAAAATTGGAAACAACATAAGTGACAACCATTACGGATAATATCGAAAGTAAATGGTGCCGTCTGTCATACTATACAGCATTAAAAAAAAATGAAGTAGATGTACATGTATAATGTAAATAAATCTCCAGAGAATATTGCTGAGTTAAAAGTTAAGCTGAAATATTGTATGAGACCACTATTATAAGAACTCAAGAAAAGAAAACACAGAAAAAAAGCATTCTTTGATGGTTACAAGGGTGGGGCGGGAGGCAGAGGGGAAATCACTAACTAGATAGTAGACAAGGGTCAACTACAGTGGAGGGAAGGACAACACACTACACAGGGGAAGTCAGCACAAATGGACCAAAGCAAAAGCAAAGAAGTTTCCTGGACACATCCAAACACTTTGAGGGACAGATTAGCTCTGGGGACCATAGTTTCAGGGGACATCTAGGTCAAGCGGCATAACATAGTTTATAAAGAAAATGTTCTACATCCCACTTTGGTGAGTAGCATCTGGGGTCTAAAAAGCTTGTGAGCGACCATCTAAGATACATCTATTGGTCCCATCCCACTCAGAGCAAAGGACAATGAAGAAAACCGAAGACATAGGGAAAATTCTAGCCTAAAGGACTAAAGGACCAAATGGACCAGAGACTCCACCAGCCTGAAACTAGAACTAGATGGTGCCCGGCTACCACCAATGACCACTCTGACAGGGAATACAACAGAGTCCCGGAGAGAGAAGAAGAAAAATGTAGAACAGAATTCAAATTCATGTAAAAAGACCAGACTTAATGGTCTGACAGAAACTAGAGGGAACCCCCGAAACTATGGCCCCTGGACGTTCTGTTAACCCAGAACTGAAACCATTCCGAAGCCCACTCTTCAGACAAAGATTAGACGGGACGATAGAACAAAAAATAATACATGTGAGGAATGTGCTTCTTAGTTCAATCAGATATAAGAGACCAAATGGGCAGCTCCTGTCCAAAAGCAGGATGAGAAGGCAGGAAGGGACAGGAACTGGTTGAATGGACACAGGGAGCCTGAGGTGGAAAGGGGACGTGTGCTGTTACATTGTGAGGATTGCAACCAATGTACCAAAACAAGGTGTGCGTACATTTTTGAATGAAAAATTAACTTGTGCAGTAAACTTTCGCCTAAAGCACAATTAAAAAAAAAAAGTTAAGCTGAAGGTAGACATTTACAGTATGATACACTGAAAAAGTAAAAGAAAAAATATCAAAACCTACAAAAGGATATAATGTATTTTCTACAGGGACATATATTCATATATAAAGGCATTAGGTAAAAACGGGAAGAATATACACCAAATCAATCAGGGTAGTTATACTTGGTTAAAGGGGAAAGAGATCAAATTGCGGGTTGATGTTTAGAAGGGACTTAAACTTCATCCATAGTGTTTCAAGTTTTTATGAGATCTATTCCTGTATTATTTATAGTAAATAGCCTCTAAAATATGAAAAGATGTTCAACCTCACTCAAAAAAAACAAAAAAACAAAACAAAACAAAACACAAAAGTACATGGAGATATCATTTCTCCTTCAACTGGCAGATTGGAAAGCTTGGTCATACACTCTGTTGGTGACGCTGTGAAGAAATACTGCTGTTGAGAAAGAAAATGTTACAAACTTTATAAGGGGGAGTTTCACAATATCTAACAAAGCCATCAATCCGCTTCTAGAAATCTGCCGTGAAGAGACGCCTTAAACAATACAAAAATATATGCACAAGATGATTCATTGCAGCATTATTTGTAATTGCAAATATTGGAAACTACCTTAATACCCAGATATAGAAGATTGGTTGAATAAACTTTGGTATATACACACGTGGACTTCTATACAGTTGTATAAGAGAATAAGGAGGATATCTATGGACTGACATGGAGTGATTTCTAGGATATATTGTTAAGTGAAAAAAGAAAGTTGCAAAAGTATATATATAGTATGCTACCTTTGTGTTAAGAGTGAAAGAGAAATAAAAAACGTGCATGTATCTGCTTATTTTCACAAACTGAAATCTAATGAAATTGATTACCTACAAGACGTGTGTATGGAGGAGACAGGAAACGGGGTGCAAAA